GAAAAAATATTTGTGGATTGAAACACAGGTAACTAAGATATTCAAATTATACATTGTAGGAAATAAATGAAAAATTCCTTTAAACAGTTAGGCTCGGAAACTTTATCATTATGCTCTTAGACATTAGCAACCATACGAAAAACAGTACAAGCCAAAGAGTGAACGATAGTGTTCAATCAAGAATCCATGCCATAGTAAAATTTGATTATTTCAATTACTTCTACAATGCGTTCAAAATATAATGCATCTGTAAAAAATCCAGCCTAATTTTCATCAATTAGAAAAAAATATTTGTGGATTGAAACACAGGTAACTAAGACATTAAAATTAAAAGTATAGATCTAGGTCTAAGTTGTAGGATTATAAATGAACAATTCGTTTAAAAGTTTTTTTGTTTTTTTTTGTTGAAAAAATCGTTATAATGTATATTTCAAGAAAAAATAAAAATAATTATTGTTTTCATAATAATATCAATCCATTTTAACTACAATTATTATTAATAAATTTTGCTTCATTGCTTTGCGAACCCCACTTCTAATCAACAGACTTACAATAATAAAATTCATTTTTTGATCAAGAACCTTTTTCCCTTGTAAAAGGAATAATGTGTTGATTAGCCTTGTAAGCTTTGTCTCCAAGTGACTTCTATTACACATATATAGTAGACATGGGCGCCCGCAGGGGGGGGGCAAGGGGGGCACTTGCCCCCCCCCCTGGATTGATTGGATACAAAAATTTTAGATAAAAATAGACAAAAAATGTATTAAAGTAAAGAGAAAATAAAGAGAAAGTAACTAAGCTGATGTCCTGTCCATTCGTTCACCATACAAATACGCTACAGTAAATTAAAACTACACTAAAAATTACTTTTAAAAAATTCCCCCCCCCCTGGAAAGTTAATCGATTTTTTGCCCCCCCCCCATAGAAAGTTTTCTGCGGGCGCCCATGATTGTTAGGGACAGGATAAGATATTTCTTACTGGTGAGGGATACGTCGCGTTTCATTCAAACATTAATTCGGCAGTAGCTGCGAAGTTGATTAAAGGCCAAGCCAATCACTTGAACGGATAACCATAAGGTCAAACGCATCTATCGTAGTTTTCACAGAAAATCCAGAAGTACTTTGAAAGTCAGTGTTTGTCAATGTGAATTTTTGAACTTGATAAAACACTAGTAGTGAGATGAAGGATTGTTAAAGGTTAAGTTCAAGTGGGCTGCTAACTTGACAGTAACATTCGGTATGGCCTGCTAACTGGAGAGTGACATTATATGTGGCCTACTAAGACAGTAACTTTCTGTGTGGCCTGCTAACTAGACAGTAACATTCTGTGTGGCCTACTAACTAAGATAGTGACATTATATGTGGCCTACTAAGACAGTAACATTCTGTGTG